CACTTTTAACAAAACTTAAAACACTCATGACCGATATTATCCCATTGGCATAATGATTAGCGTCTAAAAATCTTAATTGTATGAAGTGGAATTGTCCTTACCCGCCACATGCCAATATTCTCCCATTGGCGTTGGTTATCAATCTAAACATGACAATTGTCTAGGGGTGGTAGAAAAACATTTACGCTTGCGGGTACACTGACATTCCCTACTTGTACTATTATGGGGTAAATTTCTTCTGTTAACATGCATAGATAAGCATACAATCATTCATATATAAGTTATTTCATTCTTTATAACATATATTCTTCTGAGACATCTTCATTTATCTACTAGCATGCATACTTACTCTAATGTGCAACTATTTATCATGCATATTTATCCTACCATTAAGATTTTGTATATCTTATATATATATTATGTCTAGTAATATGATGAATTTTGTAATTTAAATTTAACTAAGCTAGAGCATACATGAAGTCATATACATAAAGAAGATTAATAAAATTTAGAAATATAATTACTCACCTCAATCTTTAGTAGATGTATTTACTATCTTAATTCTCTATTTTAATGTATTGTTAATCTATTACCAATCTCAATTATGAATAGCCTTTTTCCACACTTCTTGATAGAATAAATTTTAATAACATTAGTTTAGCCAATTATATCATTAATTATAATTATAATGTAAGTCTTAACATTTACCATATATGATTTTAGATTGTTCTCCTGTCTTAATCGTACACAAGATTTTCTTTCTAGCCTCCCTGGCCTTAATTAATCTAATTTTATATTAACAAATTAAAAATATATCAATTTAATGTATATAAATTTATAATAAATAAACCCAACACAAAAATTTATCTTAACTTGCAACTTAAGGTTTCAATAGACTTTGACTCTCCACCTTTCGCCCACGATTCATCCTCTTCCCTTGTACGAAAAATTCAAATCACGTTATCCCTAAAAATTTATGACCTTAATTTCTACGATTCTGGTTTCAAAAGCACTTAAATGTAACATTTAATTAACCTAATTAAAATATTAAAGCTGACCTTAGGACTTAGTTGAAAGTTCATTCATGCACGAGCACCCTCTTCCTTCTCTTGCTCTATGTTTTGCGACAAGCACAACTACAAAGAAGCACGACCTCCCTTCTTTCTCTCACAAACTAGTCACTCGGCCTTGACTGATACTTCCTCTTCCTCTGCATGAGAGTAGGATGTCACTACCTCACTTACTAGGGCTCAACTCTCACATCCTTTGCAAGCACTAACATTGCCTCTTCCTTCATCCTTTAGGGTAGATAACTCACACAAGCACCTGTATTGACTTGATCCAGTACCTTATGTAAGAAGCTGTCTTCTTTCCTCTCCACGAGATACAAGAGTTGTCAACTTCCATCCTCTCCACGAGATGCAAGCCACATGATGCTTCTTCCTCTCCTTCTCTTGCTCTCTATTTGGATCTGTTCCCTACCATTTTTCGGTCGCCAAAATTGGAAGGTTGTTGTATATATTTAAAGAGCAACTCGTGGCTCCATATGCGCTAATTTTAAAAAAAAGGAGTTACAAAGGCGGGTGGAAAAAAAGAACCCCAACTAAAAGCAAAAGAAAATACATGATGTTCCTAGAGGTTCCATTCCACATATTACAACTCCACACAAAAAATGCAAAAAAGCATAAAGTTAACGTAAACCCAAAATTACATGTAACCCAAAAAGTATACCGAACAAAAGCGAACAAAAGAAGTATACCCAAAAGAAGTATACCCAAAATCAACATGTATACAAAAACACAAAAAAAGCCGCTGTCGTGAAGGGTAAATGTCAGAGCTAGTCCCCTCGAAGGTAAGCCTTGTGATCTTCCAATCGAGAAATAACAAACTTGGTGATCTCAGCACATAGTAACAAACAATTATATACCGTAGCACAAATCCAAAATCCTGCAATAAAGAGCAGCCCAAAACAAACTGCGAAAGAAAATTTTGGCAAGGCAAAATGGATAGTGACCAAAGTAGACCGATTCCATAACAAAAAGTTGCAGCATAGAGGACACCAAATCTCCAGGTGAGTAAGGTAGCAGCCCCAAAAGAAGTCATAATAAACTTGATATAAATTTTCCAGTAAAGCAAAATGTCCCATTTGAATATAATCATTATAGTATAATAAAAACCTCCAATATATTTTATCAAATCTACAAGGAGGCAAAGCCAAGCATCAACCACCAAACTAAATGAATAGAGTAACCAATATAAGGCTTCATATAAAATGTAAGGAGATCGTAAGCCATAATAATCAGTAAAACCACCAGGATGCCAAAGCAAAAAAAACTCAATTGAAAAACAGGAAAAAAAGGCTTAAAGTCCCCAGTTGGGACCGAAGAAGGCCCCTAAAGTCTAATATAAGGTGTTGAGAGTGAATCACCATTCAATAGTATCTTTAAATGCGAAGGAGGATGAACCCCATTGAGCAAGATAGTGGCATCCTTACCCTTCCTAGCCAACCAATTTGCCGGTGCATTACCTTCTCGATAAATGAAAGACAATTGAATACTCAAATTATACCTCTCAATAATATCACAAATTCTTCTCATAATACCAAGCAAATCCCATCTAGTCCTATCAACTTTATAGAACATATCAATAAGAATTTGAGAATCAGTTTCAAAAATGATATTAGCTAGGTTAAGGCTAACAACCACTTGTACACCCAATAAAAGCACCCAGCCTTCAGCCTCCAGAGGAGAGGAGGCAAGAGTAGGTGAAGCAAAAAAAATATAAACATTGCCCCAAATGGTTCCGTAGTACACCACTAGCACCAGCCGCACCCGAAAGCCAGCTCCCATCAATATTGAATTTAAAACAGTCCAAAGGAGGGGGTTGTCATCTAAATACAATGGCCATCCTACCCACCTTCAACTGCATAACATCACAACATATGGCACGGCAAGCTCTATTGAAATGAGCAAGAATATAAGAGATAGTAATGGTAGGGGCAAAAATAGAAGTTCCATATTTGGCCTCATTCCTCGCAACCCATATGAACCAAAGCACCACCAAAGGAAAACAAAACAGTTTTTTGTCGACCACGGAGGCAGCTCTCCAAATACTCAAATAATCAGCAATAGAAATAGAGTGAAGCCATTTAATATGAAAATGATTTCCCAAGGCAGTCCATATTTCATCAGCAAAAGGACAAAGAAAGAAAAGATGAGATGCATTTTCTTGCTCATTCTTGCACAAATAGCATTGAGAAGCCAACTTCAAACCTTTCATTTTCAAAACAAAAGGCATCATGTCAAGAAAGAACCTCCAAAGAAAGAAGGAGATAGATGGAGAAAGAAGCTTGTTCCAAATAAAATTCCCCAATGTGAATCTCTAAAGTGGTAAACCTTATTATAAATAAACTTGGTGGAAGAGATAAACCGTTGTTTTCTATAGCGGAGTATCCCTTAAATGATTTTTATAGGTATTTTTAAAACATTGGGTGCATGCACCCCAATAAGATCATTTAATTTAGCAACATCCTAAATATTGTCAAGCCATAAATCAGAGATAGTCAGATCATTACAAAAAACATGCTGTAAAGTGAAGTCATCATCACTCAAACCCCATTCATCATGCCAAAACAAAAATTTCCCTTCTCCAATGTCCCAAAAGATAAATTTCCCTGCCACCAATCTGGCTTTAAGAATAGCTTTCCAAGTCTTGGAGTCACCCACTTTACAATTAACTAAAGTAGGATGAACATGAGAGCAATATTTGTGATAGAGGAAATTAGCCCAAAGAAAATCATTAGAACGAAACTTGAACCAGAGTTTACACATGTTTATCTCAGAGATTTGATTGAGGCTTTTAACTTCTAAACTACCAGTAGTCTTAGGTTTGCAAATATTATTAAAAGTGGACCAGTGCTTCCTTGAATGACTCCCAGACCAAAGGAAATTGTTGAAAAGCCTTTCTAACAAAAGTTGAGTGCTCCTCTTGAGTTTAAGGATTTGAAGCGCATACATAGGGATACTCGTTAAAACACTTTTAAGTACTGTAAGACACCCACCATTAGAAAGGAAAATATTTCGCCAATCATTAATTTTTGCTTTAATATTATCCACAACATCATCAAATTGAGTTTTCTTCCTACTGCCCCTTAATAAATTCACACCAAGATATTTAAGAGAAAGCGAAGCTCAATGACAACCAGTAAAGGATACAGTCCAAGAAGCTATCGAGTTGTTAACGTACTTGCCAAAATGAAGCTTACACTTCTCCTTATTAAAATTAAGACCAGAAGTATGTTGAAATTCATCAAGGACATTCATAAGCATCCTAATGGAATTTTTACTCACATTAGAAAAAAGAATGGCATCATCAACATAAGCTAAATGACTTACTAAAACAGTGGATTTGTGGTGAAAATGAGTATGAGTCTTCTTCTCCTGCATATCATTGAGTAAACGAGAAAAATAATCAATAGCGATGATGAAAATTGTAGGAGATAAAGGATCACCTTGCTTAATTCCTCTTTGCGCAGAGAAGAAACCATAAGAATTGTCATTGACCAAAACACTATAATAGTTGTTTTGTAACCATCTCAAGATCAAGGAAATAAAATTATTAAGAAAACCACGGGCCCGAAGAACATTAATAATGAAATCCCAACTTATAGTGTTGAAAACCTTCTTAATATCTAGTTTAAGGATCATATTACCACCATGACATTTCTTATCAAGATCCTTGATAATCTCTTGCGCAAGTAAAATATTATCAGTAATCTCGAGGCCCTTAACAAAAGCAGACTATTGCGGGGAGATGATTTTGGGTAACAAAGGTTGAAGCCGACTAAGCAATAGTTTACTCAAAACCTTAGATATGACCGTGGTGAGGGAGATAGGTCTAAATTTATCCCAATTAGACTTGTCATCCCTTTTGGGAATGAGCACAATCATTGAAGAAGAGAAATACTTGCTAGGGTCTTCTCCCTAAACCCTAAAAAAGCCTTGTACAACAAGGGTAACTTCCTTTTTGATAATTTCCCAACAGGCAACATAAAATGAAGCAGTAAAACCATCCGGATCAGGAGCTTTGTTGGACTTGATTTCATTGAAAATAGAAAAAAATTCCTGTTCTGTAGGAATCTCATAGAGGGAAAAAGAAGAGACATATTCACGATCTTTATCAAAAAGAGAAGCATTAATAGGGGTCACCTGAGAAGTGGACATAAAAAGGTTCGAGAAGTAGTCCACCACACTATTGCCATTATCCTCATCTTGAGTAAAATAACCTCAAAAAGGAGATTTGATCTTATGAATAGAGTTAATGTTTCTCCTATGCTTTATGGAAGCATGAAAATATTTAGTGTTGCGATCACCACATGAAAAATAAGTATCATTTGCTTTATGCTGGAGAAAATCTTACTCCATAGAAATAGCCTGAAAAAGATTAGAATGAGCCAAAACCAAATCATCAACAAGTTGCGGAGAATAATTCACCTGTGATTTAAGATTGTCAACCACTCTCTGAGCCTCCTGCACTTTATTGTGAACATTACCAAACACATTTAAGTTCCATTTACACAAATGTGCCACAACCTTTTTATGAAGTTGCCAAAGAATGAACCAAGGGTTCCCAACACAATCCACTTTCCAAGCATGCTTAACAAGAGACAAAAGCGTGTAATGAGTGGTCCAAATATTAAGAAATTTAAAATGATAAGTAGTTGGCTTAATGGTGAAAGCAAGAGAAATCAAAATAGGGTTGTGATCCGAGCCGGCATGATTTAAGTGCTGAACTTTAGAAACAGGAAAATAGTTAAGGAAATTATGATTTCCAAAAACACGATCCAACCTCTGGGCCAGAGCACCTCTTCTCCAAGTAAAAGTGGGGCCTGTAAAGCCAAGATCATAAAGACCAGCCTCCTTTATTTTATTGTAGAAATTGTTAATATGGGCAGTGTCACATCTTTGACCCCCTCTTCTCTCGGAAGGCTTCATGATCATATTAAAATCACCCCCAATGAACCAATTATCAAGAATAGTATCACCCATAAGAGTAAGCTTATGCCATAGAAGATACTTATCCTAAAGAGAAGTGCTAGCATAAACGAAAGTAGCCCAAGATGAAATGATGTCTTGATTAAAATGAACGAGCATAAATTTTTCCTCATCATCAATAATAGTAAGATCAATCTGGTGTTCCAAAAAAACCAAAATTTGTTGTTTTTTATTGCAACAATACTTGTACTGTTTAAAGTTTTGGAATATACGATTTTTATTTAGAGAGACAAGAGGCTCCAATATAGCAAAAATGAAAATCTTGTGGAATCTACATAGATTCTTCAGTCTATTAAGGGAGGTAGGGTCCGCCACTCCCCTAATATTCTAGAGCAAGATATTAAACATAATTTCTCATGCTACCCCTTCTAGTAGCCCAAGAAGAGGAGCACAATTATTCTCCATCAGAATGAGATCTTCCATCATATATTATATTGTCTTTATTAAGATGTAAGAGCTCGTTCTTATGTTTACCTTTTTTCCTACTAGCCTTTTAGACCATCCATTATTCTTCTAAAGCAAAATTAGCTGCAAGGATAACATTTTCAGAAAGTAAATTCTCATTCTGAATATGTGGAGAGCCATTAATCATAAGAGCACTGCCCTCTACCTCAGTAGTTCGTGAAAGCAAATTTTCATTACAATTAGAAAGAGAGCCATTAAATAAAGGGACATTACCATCCGCCTCCTGAGAGGGAGGTAATAAATTTTGTGGAACAACTTCCACAGCTTCAACATTTAATACACCTTCCTCTGCACCTTCCTCAACTGACGTAACCTGTTGTACAATATCAGTAGTCCAAATAGGAAGATTTTTTACATTAGTAGTAGCAATGGGAAGGTTTTGATCATTAATTTCAGTGTCTAAAATAGGTTTAAGATTATCAACAGGAATGCCATGATTGATATTGCAAAGATCTTGTGGTGGGCGTTCAGCTCCTTGCCGAAGATGACGGTGAAGCTTATAGCAATGAAAAGAGGCATGCCAAAACATACGACATTGTGAACAGTAGGGAGAGTGCCTCTCGATTTCCACTTTCTGCAATAACCCTGATGTGCCGAGCCTATCCATATTTCATCACAAAATGGGAGTGTAATGTCTCGTTCCACTAAGATACGAGCTTTAGAAGGACGTGTTAGGTTAAGAGTAGGACCATCCATTTTTAGTGGTTTCCCATAAGTGGCAGCTAGAGAAAGTAAAACCTCATGATTAAATAAATGAAACTTTAAGCCGGAAAAAGTATCCAAACCGGAATAGTGGGCGGCTCCGATTTGGGATCGAAACCTACCGTTCACTTTAAAATTTTCATCGAGATGTCTTCAAATTTCAAAAAATGGCTAGCAAATAGACGCTTATAGTTTTCGTCATTTGATAGTTGGATCAAAATATGTCTCCTGTCAAGCAACCCAATTTGCCAAAAACCCTTAAGTTTAAGAGAATCAAAATCCCGTCTAATTATCTCAAGCTTAGGATGGTCATAGAGAAATTTACCAACCAACACATGCTCACAGAAAGAAGCAAGAATATATGTTTCCTCCTCTGAAACATACCAAGCAAATTTTCCATTCTTTTTTGCAATCTTCTTGATAAAATTATACCCACCTTCAGTACCGAAGGCCTCATGAAAGGAACTGCGAAATTACCCGAAGCCCCAATCTTAGAGCAACTACCTCCAATAAAAACGTCTGCAAAGCTCTTTGCCATGAGCAGAGAAAGCAAAAGAGACCCACAAAAAAACCTCCAGAAAGCAAACAAGCACCAGAAAAATGCAAAATAAGTGAAGAAAAAGGGGAAGATCTCACCAAAGAACGAAGAATCGACATGGGAGAAGTCCATCGCCGCCCAAATTTCCCAGGGAGGAAAACCTAGCCTAGAACATTCTAGATGATATATATATATCAACCACTCT